CAGATACCAGAATCTGAGGATGCTCAAGTCCCTTACTTTAAAAATGTGGTAGTATTTTCATATAACCTATGAACACCCTTCCACCTACTTTAAATCATCTCTAGATTACTTATAATACCTAGTACAATGTAAATGTTACATAAATGGTTGTTTAGAAAATAATGACAAGGGAAAAAGTCTATGTATGTTCAGTATAGATACAATTAAAAAAATATTACCTATCAGACGTTGATTGAATTCTCAGAAGTGGAACCCATAGATATGGCAGACTGACTATTTCCCTAACTGGGAAGGTGCCAAACTTGATCTCAGTTGCTTCTGCTTATTTGTTGATCGACAGACAATGCTTTTCAAGCAAATAGAGAACCTTCAACACAGAAACTCATCTTCTTTGGGCTGGACCCTCAATCCTCACCAGCAGTGGTCCCTACCCCCAGTCCTCAGCCTCTTGTATTACCTGGTCTGATTCCTTCCTCCAGGGCAGATCCTACCTTGCAAAGGAGGGATGAAGTACCCTGCTCTTTCAGCCTCCTGAGTAGGTGACATTTCGATGGCCTCCCACTCTCCTGGGCCCGGCTCACCACTCACTGACCTTGGGCCTGAAGACTGATGGCGAAGCAAGCGGAAAATATGAAAAGCCGATACTCCCTGCAGGAAATCATTGTTTGGTTGGTTCCAGAACTGAAAAACAAATGTAACGTTGGAGAATGGAGGGAAAAGTGCCATTCAAGGCCATTGTTACAGCCACTGCTCTGTGTATTGGGGAGACAAAGGGAGCCTGTGTGCAGGAGGACAATACTGTTGTGTTGCCAGCTGCTTCTGTGTTACTCCTGGGGACAGGGGACGAGAAATGAGGCCACAGTGTCTTCCTTGGTTTGATGTGCTCTGGACTTCACTAATCATAGCGACCAGGTCAATTACAGCCAGGAGGAGAGATTGGGACATCCAGCAGGTAGTTTTCTTTAGTGGGGAACAAGAGATGTCCCTTCAAGAATAACCAACTGCCTACATGCTATTCTTCTACACATGGTGAATTCCAAATGCTCCTCTTCTCTCACAAGCTTTCAGAGACTCAATGCAGTTAAAGACGAAAAGGGTCATAGACAGCATTTCTCCACAGGATTACATCATCTACTTTTGTGATGGGGCACCTAGATGGAACCAGTCCCCAGCCATGTAGCATAGTACAAGAAGTCAGTAAGACCAGCTCTATCATTATGTGCCTCACATCCACTGGACCCCCTACAGGATCAGATGCTGCTACAAGTAGGCTCGCAAAATGACTTCATGTGCTCCTGTCTTCAAATCTTGGCTCTGGCACTATTTTCTATGGACTGAGTTTTTCTCTGAGCTTTAGTTCTCCTGACTGTAAAGCAGGATGATTATTGAGTTACTGTGAGATTAAATGAGTTAACACAAGCAAAACTCTCAGAACAGTTCGTGGCTCACAAAAAGTGAACAAAGCCCATGAATGACATTAGATACCCATATTACACCTGCAACTTGCTCAGACTCACAAGGAGATGATATGAGATGGCTGGAAACCCAGGAGCCCAAGTACCTGTGTTCAGCCCTGCTGCCTATTATATTACTTACTGTTTAGTTTACTCTACAAGGTCCCCAAGGAAAGCTGGTCACTAACAGATGCTCTCAGGGATAAGGCAAGGGACAAATGTGTAGAAAGGGTTCACTGGGATACAAGTGAGTGGTGGGGACTCTGGAGATACAAGTGAGTGGAGGGGACTCTGGAGATTTGGAGAGCCCACACCAGTCTTCAGGGAACAGCCAGGGGTTAGCTTCAGCCAACTACTGCAATGAGGAAAGGTGGGAACCACATGGCTGAGCTGAACAATTTTTAAAGAAGAGCCAGAAGTCTATACTTTTTGATGTCAGACTTCCCAATTTTGCAACACTGTTGACCAAACATGATGTTGTTGACACAGAGTGAGCTCTGAATCATTTCACTTATGATGCCCAATCTAAGCAAACTTGGCATTCCCAAGCCAGTGTACCCCTGTTGATACTCAATTTGCCTGCAGTCTGCTGGTGCTATGATCTGAGTGTTTACGCCTCCTCCTCCCAAATTCATACATTGAAATCCTAACCCCAAAGTGATCGTATTAATAGATGGAGACTTTGGGATTAGTGTCCTTATAAAAGAGACCCCAGGAAGCTCCCTTGCCTTTCCATGTGAGGACATAGCTAGACTGTTTCTTGTGTAAACCAAGAAACAGTTCTCACCAGACACTGGATCTGCCGGCACCCTGAGTTTGGACATCTTAGCCTCTAGACTGTAAGCAATAAATTTCTGTGGATAAACCATCCAGTTGATGGTATTTGGTCACGTCACGACAATCCAAATGGAATAAGATGATGGGTGAGCCATCTGGCTACTTTAAAGCTGCCTCTTAAACCAGAGCAAGGAATACAAGACCAAAAGGACCAAGCAGCCCCTGCCCTCTGCAACCCATCTTCATCTCAGTCAGTGGGGGTGAGGAAAAGGTAAACCAGCAAAATGAAATAGAAGAGATGCTCCCTAAAGGGCCACAGGTCCTTTGGTCATATCCACCTCCAGCAGGCATTTCTCTGATAAAGAAGGCAGCTAGGATGAATGGTGGGACCAAAGGGGAGAACAGAGCTTAAGTGTTCACAACATCTATCAGCTCAAATGAACACAAGTCATCAAAGGGATAAAAGGTCCTCATTCTGCAAATGTATCTTTAAAAAAATAAAGGGTGGTCACAAACAGCAACCCACTAGGACAGCTACAATCAAGAAGAGCAACAACAAGTGGTGGAAGAATGTGGAGAAGGTGGGGCCCACCTCTACCGCTAATGGGAATGTAAAATGGTGCTGTCACCTTGGAAAAACTATGGCAGTTTCTCAAAAAACTAAACATATAGTTACCATATGAACCAAAACTTCCATTCCTAGACATACACCCTAAGAGAAATGAACTACCTGTCCATCCAAAAATTTGTACATGCCTTTTATAGTGGCATTATTCAAAATAGCCAAAAGGTGGAAAGAACCCAAATGTCTATCAACTGATGAATGCATAAACAAAATGTGGTTTACCCATACAATTAAGTATTAGTTGGAAAAAAAGTAATGACGTACTGATACATGCTACAACATGGATGAACCTTGAAAACATTATGCAAAGAGCAAGAAAGAAGTATAAAAGGACACAGATCATATAATTCCATTTATATGAAATGTGCAGTGTAAGTAAATCTATAGAGACAGAAAGTAGATTAGTGGTTGCCTAGGGCTAGAGTTGATGGGAAAATTTGTTGGGGGTAGAGGTGGAGTGTTGAGTGATGAATGGGTTCTAAAACTCATCATGGTGATGGCCAGGAAACTCTGAGAATATAAAATCCATTGAATCAAATAAGTGGGTAAATTGCATGGTATGTGAATGTGAATTATATCTCAGCAAAGCTATTATTTAAAAAAATTAAGATTGTTGCCCTTAAAAAGTCTAAGTCCATATCCCTGTCTTCACATCTGTATGCCTGGAGAAAACTGAACAATTACTCCAAAAGGATGCTTTCTCTCAAACGCTTGGGGCTCACATTGGTTTCCCCAGAAGTTAAGTCCTGCATCTTATAAAATTGCTAATTCCTGGGCAAAGTGAGATGGTTAGTCACCTTAGGGCCCTTTCCCATAACAAGAAACCTCTGCCCTTGACTAGAATTGAGTGTCTATGGTCCTTCCCAGTTGGGTATAAGTCATCCTTGAGCTCCCTCTAATGGCCAAAAGGTATTTTGTGATTGTTCCCATTGTACAGATGAGGAAACTGAGGTTCAGAGAGGTGAAGTTTCTGGCACATAAGAATCAGGAACTCAGCCTGATTTCTTTCTAATATATGGTCATGTGGGTTTCCCTTGCTGGGTATGTGATTAGGCTGGGTTTTCCTCCAAAGCCTATTGTACCCCTTCCACTCATCATATTGTCTCTAACCATATCACCTTGGTTGATTGTCCAGGAGGGCTCTTAGCTTATTCTTGCCCTCAGAGGAAGATAGGCAGGCATCTGAACAGAGAAACATGAGCTTTCAACTATGAGAAGATAAGGAGACCTGTACTGCTTGGTAGTTAACAGTACAGCCTCTGGAGCAGACTGCCCAAGTTTGAATATGAACTCTGCCACTACTTAGCTGAGTGACCTTGGGAAAGTAACTTAATTATCTGTCTCAGTTTCCTCATATTTAAAATGGGGAAAATAATAGTACAGTGTGTATGTGTGTGCATATATATTTAATATAATATATAAATATATCAGGATAGAATGGAACCTGGCACATGGCAAGTTTATTAAATATGTGAAAGTAAGCACTAATTCCTATTCTCGAAATTGGAAATAAATTACATTAGGCCTGATGAAAACAAAAGATGAACCAACTAATAGGCATGAACTGACTCTGTCATTCTGTCCTCTTCCTTCCTGTGACAATAAGAACTGGAGGAAGTGCTGCGGACCATACACAAATCTTCAAAGGTGACACAGCCAGACAATCTGGGCTGCCTAACACTGACCTCTGAGCTCTGGGCAAATCAGAGTCCAGTATTGCCACCCCAAATCACTCATTACATTCATTATAATTATCTTGTTAAGTAAACAGATTAAATTGTTTCTACCATTCCTGCCATAAGCGTATCAGAAACCCAGATAGGTAATGGTTTTCATGATTCCCTTCCTATCTCCTTTCCCAAACACCTTTTCACCTGCTCTTCAAACCAGAACTCCTCTACGACTACAGAACAGTTACTAAACTCCAAGATTCAGTTTCCCCATCTGGATAAGGCTGATAATAATCCCAGCTCCCCGAGTTTAGATTTCCCACCCGGGAGGTTTCTTGGTCTCTCCCACACCCACCGCGCTACAGTTGAGTCCGCCCTGCCACCCTGAAGGACTACAACCCCCGGCATGCACCGCGCTGGCGGGCGGTGCCACGTGGCGCGCTCCTCCTGTTGGAGCGCTCACGTGATGTCGGGAAAGATGGCTGCACTGACGGCGGAGCACTTCGCTGCGTTCCAGACCTTGTTGAAGGTAAATTGAATGCATGGGAACCTGTCCGGACGTGTGCGGCTCTTCTTTCTCTCCGGGGCTTTGTACGTAGCAGGAATTGGGAATAAATTGGCCCTGACTTGCAGGCACAACTCTGTCATTACTTTTGTGTGACTCCGGACCAATCGTTGCGCCTTTGAGCTTTGAATAAAGGTGTGTGTGGGAAATGAGACAATAGACTTGAAGGCGCTGTACAAACGTCCCCTACTGTTCTCTTCTGCCACTGGCTTTCGGGATTGGAGCTGGCTCGGTGTTACCACTCACTTCCCCATTCCACCGCGAGTCCGTCTGCACTGGCGGTTGAGATCCCGCGGTCCCTCTGCGGCCCTCGCGTGACGTGCGGCGCCCGGGGTCTCTTTCCGCCTTGGCCTGTGTGACAGCTCTCCTGGCAGTCGTTGGTGTGAAGGAGTGGGAGACTGGAAGGGACTGATTTCACAGGGCTCCATAAAGCTCAAATGAAATAATGGGTTGGAATTAACTTTTGATTTCCTCTGTAGAAGGGCGGCTTATTTTCCTAGAACGTGACCCTAGCTGGCATAAATTATTTTGTCTCAGAATGTGAGATCCGTCAGAGACCTTTAATTTTTCCTTCTTTCCCTCAAAAGGTGAAGAGAATTGGATTAATTACACTTAATTCATGACATAGCATCGTCATCAATCTGCATAATTGGTTTTTTTGGCTTTTTGGTGATACCAGGGTTTGAACCCAGGGCCTCCCACTTGCTAGCCAGGAGCTCTACCACTTGAGCCACTCTGCTAGCCATGTATTTTACTTTTGAGATAGGGTTGCACTAACTTTGCGCAGGCTGGTCTGGAGAGACCCTCCTGTTTCCGCCTCCTGAATAGCTGGGATTACAGAGATGAGTCACCACATACGGCTCTGTTTTATTTATTTTTTTAATGGCCTCTCAAGTATTCATTTGCACTTTCCACTTCTAAAGACATTTACTTTATTGTTCACCAGAGTATCCCAATAAATAGAACACCTGGCACACAGCATGTGCTCAATAAATAGTTTTTAAATGAACTAATTAATGTAATAACTGAGCTGTGACTGGAAACAATTCTCAGCTCCCAGTTGAGAGCCTTTTCACCTTCATTGTGACTACACCATGTTCCCTTGTGAATCCCATTTTGAATGCCTGTCTGCCTTGTATACTTTTTTATATTTTAATAAGCTTTTAAAAATTAATATGTGTCATTGATGCAGAAAACGCATAAATCTCTTTGTGCCATGGCTCATGCCTGTAATCCCAGCTATTGCAATCCCAGCTACCTGAGAAACAGAGATCAGGAGGATGGAAGATAGAGGTTCAAGCCAGCTGAGCAAAAAGTTATTAAGACTCCATCTCAATCGATAATCTGGGCATGGTGGCATGCTTCTGTAAATCCCAGCTACTAAGGGAAGCCATAGGTAAGAGGATTGGGGTCTGAGACACCCAGGGCAAAACCTGAGAGATTCTACTTGCCCCCCCCCCAAAAAAAAAGACACTGGGAGCGTGGCTTAAGTAGTAGAGTGCCTGCCTAGCAAGTGCAAGGCTCTGAGTTCAAACCCTAGTACCACCACCATCAAAAAGAAAAAAAAAAAAGCATAAGTCATAAGTGCAGCACTGAATGATTTATTACACACCTATGTAACCAATACCAACCAAGTCAAAAAATGAAACATTGCTGGTATCCTAAAAGTCCTATTGCTCCTTCATTGCTTCCCCCACTTTCCTCCCCTACAGTAGCTGTCATTACTGCTAACATGGTTTAATGTTGCTCACGTTGAACTTCATATAAATGAAATAGTGCGACATGAACTGCACCATTTTGTAGCAGTTGTTCATTCATTTTCATTGCTCTGGTCTTTTATTTTCTGCTTTTTAAAAACAATTTTATTTTGAGATAACTACAATTGTAAGAAATAACGCAGAGATCTTATTTACCCTTTACCAAGTTTCCCCAAAGGTGACATCCTAGAAAACTAATGAACAACATGAACAGGATATTGACGTTGAGACAGTCAAATACAGAAAACTTCTGTCTCCACGAGACCTCTTTTGTTACCATTTTATAGCCACCCTCACTTCCATTCTGCCTCCACCCCTTCTTTAAGCTCTGGTAATCTTCAGTTCTGTAATTTTGTCATTTCAAGAATTTTATATAAATCTTACTGCATATAGCCTTGGGGGTTGGCTGTTTTCACTTAGCCTAATTCTCTGGAACTTCTTCATCCACATTGTGTGCATCAATAGTACTTTCCTTTTTATTGCTGTAGAGTATTTCATGATACAGATGTGCAGAGGTTTTATCATTGACCTGTTGAAAGACATCTAGATTGTTTCCAGTTTTTTTGTTTGTTTGTTTTTTTGTGGTACTGAGGTTTGAACTAAGGGCCTACACCTTGAACCACTCCATCAGCCCATGTTTGTGATAGTTTTTTTTTTCCAGATAGTGTCTCTCAAACTATTTGCCCAGGCTGGCTTCAAACTGTGATCCTTCTGCTCTCTGCCTCCTGAGTAGCTAGGATTACAGGCTTGTGCCACCAGCGCCTGGTTTGTTTCCAGTTTTTTGCTCTCACAATTAAAGCTGCTATACATGGTGTGTATAGCTTGAAGTTCAGGTCATGTGGTAGTTTCATGTTAACATTTCCAAACTACTTTCTAGAGTGACTGTACCAGTTTACATTTCCACTGACAACATATGAATAATCTAGTATGTCTGTATCCTCACCAGCATTTGGTGTTATCACTGTATTTTGTGAGTCATTCTGGTAGATGTGTCTTGGCTTCTCCATGTGGTTTTTTCCTTTTTTATCAATGTGGTTTTAATTTGTATTTCACCTTCTATGAATGACGTTGAACCTCTTTTCATGTACTTATTTGCCATCTATAGCTCTTCTTCCTGGAATGTCTCTTTATATCTTTTGTCCACATTCTGATCTTGAGTTTTGAGTTTTAGAATATATTCTTACTAATTCTTTGTCAAATAGATGGTTGCTGATATATTCCTCTAAATCTGTAGCTCATTATTTCATCCTCTTTGTAGAGGCTGTGTTAGTTTGCTAGGGGTTCCATGACAGAGTACTGTGAAGTGGGTAGCTTAAACAGAAATGTATTGTTTCACAGTTCTGGAGGCTCTAAGTCCAAGATCAAGGTGTGAGCTGAATTGGTTCCTTCTGAGGGAACCATGCTGTTTCATGCCACTCCCCCAGCAAGTTGGCTAGCAATCTTTGGAATATCTTGGCTTTGTGTCTTTATGACATACTATCTGTGTACATCTGTTTCCACATTTCCCCATTTTACAAGGCATTGCTCATATTGGATTAGTCCACACTAACATCCTCATGTTAACTAATTATGTCTGCATAACCTTATTTCCAAATAAGGCCACATTCTGAGGTGATGAGAATTAGGACTTCAATTGTGAGGGCACAATCAACCCATAGCTAGGACTTTTGCAGAGCAAAAGATTTAAATTTGATGAAGTGCAGTTTATCATTTTTCCCTTTTATGAACTGCACTGTTGTGTCAAGTCTAAGAATTCTTTTCCAAGTCATACAGCTGAAATTTCTGTATTGTTTCTAAAAGTTTTACAGTTTTGCATTTTTACGTTTTTCACATTTACATTTATGTCTGTGATCCATTTTGTATAAAGTGAGTGAGACTTAGGTTGAGTTTGGTGTTTTGTTGTTCATTTCTACCATTGGTTGAAAGGGATATTTTTCTTCCATTGAATTGTGTTTGTACTTTTGTCAAGAATCGGCTGGTCATAATTGTGTGTGTCTATTTCAAGGTTCTCTACTCTATTGAGCTGATCTGTGTGAACATCCCTCTGTCATTACGACACAGTCTCAATTGCTATAGCTATAATAAATATTGAAATCACATAGACTAATTCTTCCTATTTCATTTTTCTTTATCAAAATTGCCTTAGCTTTTCCACCTCCTTTGCCTTTCAATAGAAATTTTAGCATGGTGTTGGCTTTGGTAAACAAAACTTGGATTCAATTTTTTGATAGGAATTGTGTTAAACATATGTCAGAGTCGACATCATTAGAATGTTGATCTTCCAATTCAAGAACATTTATTTGATCTTGTTTGATTTCGTCTGTATTATATAATTTTCAGCATACAAGTCTTATGTTTCATTTTTTGAACCATTGCAAACGATACTGTATTTTTAATTCTGGAGTCTACACGTTCGTTACTAGTTTAGACAGTCCACGACTTACAGTAGTTTGACTTACATTTTTAACTCCACAGTGGTATGAAAGTGATAAGCATTCAGTAAACCATAGTTCAGGTCTTAGATTTTGGTTATTTCCTGGGCTAGTGATATGCTGGAGGGCACGCTGTTACTATGCTGCACAGCAGTGGCTGGCTAGCTGCAGCTCCCAGTGAGTCACGTGGTCATGAGTGTTCATAACCAGCATTCATCAGTGCACAGTATTGCCCAGCCACAATGTTTGGTAGGTTAGTTGTATTAAATGCATTCTCAATATAGGATATTTTTAAACTTATTTCAGGCAATACCTCATCGTAAGTCAAGGAGCATCTGTATGAACAAATACAACTGACTTTGTATGTTTATCTGGTATCTGCAAACTTGCTGAACTTATTCTAGGAGGGTGTGTTGTGTGTGTGTGCATGCGCATTCCTTGGGACTTTCTTCATAGAGAACCATGTTGCTTGTACATGGGAACAATTTTATTTCTTTCTAATTGTTTCCTTTTCTTGCCTTATTTCAGTGGCTAGATCTTTCAGCATTATGTTGAATAAGAGCAGTGAGAACAGACATCCCAGGACAAAGCATTCAGTCTTCTACCATTAAATATGTTGTTAATTGTAGGCTTTTTATAGATGCCCATTAGCAAGTTAAAGAGGTTCTCTATTCCTATTTAGCCCAGAGTTTTTAATCAAGAATAGACTTTTAAGCCAGGTGCTGGTGGCTCACGCCTATAATGCTAGCTACTTGGGAAGCTGAGATTGAGAGGA